TATTTAAAAAAAAGATGAATCTGCACCTCTAATGTATTCATCTGGAAAAACTTTACATTTTTGAAATCTGGTAGTGGACTTAAAACCAGGAAAAGAAACCCAAAACAATTAGTCCAAAACCAAAAAGTCACAGTTTGTTACTAAAAACAGTGCCGTTCATATCGCCACTGAACCCTCAGCTAGTTGACGTCTGATATTATCCTTAGAGCTCCAGTGAAAAGTCTCAGTTTAAGGTGTTGATGTCGACCTTCCTGCATTTTTTAGCATGTTTTGAAAGTTGTTTTGCTGCGACAGTCCTCTCAGAACAGAAAGAGGGCGACTGTTTAAATTGAGAGACAAAAAAAAAAAAAGATGTCTTACTGAGGCAACAGATGGTGTTGAAGGTTCATCTATAAAAGCAGCGTTTGACCTCCACCAAGGTCTTTATCTTGAGACTTGGTGTTGGCGACAGGCTCACACCATCTGAAACTAAAAGACAACCTCGTTTTGCCAGGCTCACTTTGTTTGTGCTCACAGAAACATCTGTTCACACAAGTTCAGTGGTTTGTGTTTATTTGTATAGGGAGAAAAATAATTAGTAGCAAAAAGGTTGCGCTGGCCTTTGTGCGCAGCTAAAATGGAAGGTGCATAATACGATAAAATGTGTTTGTGTTTTAATAGTATTTCATTTTACTGTATATACGAGTCCTTGCTAGAATAGTTTTTTTTTTTTTTTAAACTTATTCTTTTTTTTTTCTAGGTCATTGTACTTTTATTTGTTATCACCACCTTATAATTGAATAAATTAAATGAATGTCTGAAGAAGCCAACAGTGCAATTCCTCATCACACACCAACCGTTTCCTGTTGTTGCTGATTCAGACAGGTGATCTTGCACAGCGGGGCTCGGATGTTGACGGTCTTGTCTGTAAATACACTGTAAGAATTTGGCAAGCTTTCGCTGCAGCAGTGGACTGCATGCTTGTGCTACTCAGAATCCCGACAGCATTGAGTCACTGCATGCCTGATTATAATCAGGAAAGGCACTGAATCAGAATGTAAAAACCTCGGGGCGACGCGTTCACTTCTTTTGAGTGCCGCCTGATTAATGTCGAATCATATCTGGTAATAATCATGACCCTAAACCGTCCGGAGGGGCCAGCAGAACACACTGGGGCCACAGAATCACAAGCTGGTACATCAGAAGTTCCTTCTTTGAAGAGACGTCTGGGATTTCATCTGAAAAATTCACTCGGAACCAGGCAAACCGAAAATGTTCTGTAATAGGAAGACATGTCTGTCGATCAGTGTCACAAATGGATTTCACCTGATGATGCAAACAAAGTGACAACACCTGGAAACAGTTAAATGAATTTACAATGAATGCTCCATTTATATGACTGAGTTGGAGTGCTCAGCAGATGAGAATCATTTGAAACGCGAACAAACGCTCAAACAAATGCATCTCTGTTTTACATCCAGTTAATTGATGTTTTTAAATGAGAAAAAAAAATGCAGTCATTAAAAATATTGGAATCAGAAACTCCTCTGAAAAAATGTCAGTTGTGATGTTTTTTGTTTTTTTTATGAAGAAACTAAATATCTCTAAACTTCTCATAAGTATTTATTAGGAGTTGTAGTGGAAAAAGTGCACAAGCAAGACAGTGCATCCAAATTACTCTCAGACATGAATTTTATTCATATTTCCCTGTCAACGCTGCCCCCCATGAAGTTATCTCTTCTTTTTGGAGCAGCCTCCATTTTGTGTTGCTTTCACAAAGCCTTAGGCCAAATAAGACGGGTGAATTTATTAAATTAAGATGAGTGCTGAGCCAAAATGTCCTGCGAAATGGGCCATATGGAAAAAAAAAAAAAAATCTCTCAATGCTTCCTGTAGATTGGTTCATTTTGCTACAGCTGGCTGGTAGATGACTCTTTTCAGGTATAAAATTGATTATGTGCCACTCCTGTTTTATTTATAGGTGTTATGGACAGGTACTGAAAAAAAATCATTCAATCATAAAATGCATTTTGATTTCAAAAATAAATAAATAAAAACTCCCTAATAGAAATGTGGTCTGTCTGTCTATCTATTCTTACTATTTGTTAACGGAATAGGAAGCAAAAAGAAGATTTTGGTCATTCTTACTTCTACAAAACAGGAAAAGTTTAGACTGATTTAAAATACTGTTTGGTTTATGTAGACATCTGGTCTCAGTTAGATTCATTTTGTTCATTGAAACTGATTAAAAAAAAAAAATGGATCCATTAGTGTTTTTGTATTCTTTTCTACAAATTATATTTCCCAAACATTTAGTGATATATAAATTTCATGCTTGAAAGTCGTTCATTGTGTGGTCATTACAATTTACAACACTTGTCATCAAAAATATTTCAATAAATTACCAAACAACAACCCTCACATGCACCCTGTTACATTGATAACATCACAAAACAATTTGACATGTTCACTGACACAAATTTTTACTTTTCAGAGATGAGCTAGGGATTTTGAGAAATCAGGTAATCTGTGGTGTTTTGTTGTTTGTATGAATTGCTTTGGAAAATGTACCTACTGTTTTGCAAATGTCAAAACTGACTGTTTTGACATTTGCGAGACCTACCGGTACTGTTTGGTGATTTGAGAAATGCGCCGAAGCCGACCGAGACAAACTGCAAGCTCTTTTTCAGTGTCCCTATTTATCACCTTTGGTATTGCTGCCTTTGGACAATAAATAAAAGTAATGAAAATGTAAAAAGTAGGCTAATGAATGAAAAAAAAATTGGGTATGTGAGTATTTTTAGGTTTTAAACCATCTGAGTTTACCCCACCACCAATTATTTCCAAATGGGACAACTGCTCTGGTGTCCAGTAAGGGTTATGCTAATGGAGATGCTAATCATGCTCATTAATTATACCTCCTTCTAATCACACTCCACTAACAAGTGTTTCTTTTTCTCTTCCAACCTTCTTCTAATTGCCTCTTTTTGTTTTTTTGTTTTTTTTATCATTCAACTGGCAGCACATCTCCTCAGTCGCATGAACTTAGTCAAATTAACAGACCAGAAAAGCCAGAGAGGTAGCTTCTTATTATTCAGACAGTACATTTATCAGACGGATTTATTTTATTTTCAAAGGAGGAATTATGGCAGCATGCCCCATAAGGTGCTGGATGGTCTAAGCGGTTTAATGTACCGCATATCCTGAGTTAGGGTTTTTTTTTTTTTTTTTTTTTTTTAGTCTGTCATGACGCGAGATATGAATATTGGCTGCAGACGTTGGTTACTTTTACTCAGTTACATTTGAGTTTGCGGAAAAAAATACTTTTAGGAGTGTTGGGAGAGATTGACTGCCTTTATTTTGGGTTGAACTGGAATCTAGGTCATCATTTCTTAATTTGACCATGGTGGCTTCATTGAAAAGGCAGATGAGAATACAATTTTAACATTTTATTGTTTACTGTGTCTGTAAAATACCTTAAAGTTGGGATCAAACGAAAGCTCTAAAAGGTTGACAGCTCTAGTTTTGAGCAACTATTGTTCTTTGCAAGAGCAACAAGAGCTGCTATAAACTTTGGGACACTTTTTTCCTTTACCAACTTGGTGAGGAACTTTGCTATTTCTTGCTTGCTGGTCCTCTGACTGTGCCAACACCGAATTAGCTGTTTTTTTCTTAGAAGTGTGACATAGCTTATCATCCTAGTCATGTTTCAAAAATAATGCATCTTACTATAACAGCCTGCATACACCATGGCTCTTGTCCAACTAATTTTTTCGTTTACCACATATTGGGCTTGTTGTATTTCACCTACTTTTATGTAACTGTGCTGTGTTCACCATAAACTGCAATGACGTGCGTCCGTGTTTTGTCTTTGCCGTTACTCAAAATTTGGTCACAAATTAACGTTAAGACAATCAAGTTTTAGTAATGTTCATATCACGATCAATCAAAAAATATATCGATGCATAGACCTGTCCCCCAATCTTTCTAGAGACACAAGTGAAAACATGCTCAAGATCTAAGAAAACATAAGAGCAAAAGGAGCGAGGAGTTAAGTACTGTTCTAGTATTTAACAAATTGAACAATAAATTCATACTGTTGACTCCCAGCACATTTAAAATATATATATTTTCTGTGGAGACTTTCTTCAACTTTTCTTTCCATCCACACTGTTTATACAGAAATACTGGAGTTGGGATGCAGGAGTTTACAGTGAAGTGGAATTTATGCAAAGCACTCGATAACAGAGCTTTGCAGGACGGGGCTGAGTGGTTTTCCCCCTGTTCCCATCATACCCCTTCGCCCTCAGGGTGCATGAAATCGAGAAGAATGAGTCCATCCGTCTTTTTTTTTTTTCTAAATAACTCTCTGTATGCCCTCATCTATGCAAGCACATTTGTTGAGCAAAAAGAGATTAATTTTTTAGATAAAGGCTGATGTGCGGGAGCAAACTTTGCCATTACTCTGTCATAGCTGTGTGAGAAACATGAGATGTTGTAGAAAAGAGCACTTTAACACTTTTTGGCGACTCGTGTTTGTGAAGGGAAGAACCAGCTTCTTGCACTTTCTGTTTTGCATTTTGTTGTTTAAGCACTTTGAAGCGTTTGGTGAATATCGAATGAGTGCTGTTGCTTACAATTCCTACCACAGAGTAGTTTCACCAGGCAGCTTCAAAAATGACAAAATAAAGTTGTTACCCTCATTAGTTATTCTGTGAGTGTGAGTTATTCCATGATTACTATTATTGATAATATGGGATTTAGTGAGAAATCCCATATTGACACTTACCTCAGTCAAAATAAAACTTGTGACTTCCTGATCTCCAAGTCATTTGCGTTTCAGTAAGAACAGTTCTGAAAATGTTTGCGTGAACCTGAATACGACTGGATTAGTGAGAACCCCCTCTCTATCTGCTTGATTTTTTTTTTTTTTTTTACTTTGGCTTTAAAAAAAAAAAAAGAGGTCAGCGGGTTTTCATTCAACTCTCTGAAAGCTCTCCTCCTCTCTCTTTACATTCTAGTCCTGCTGCGCGAAGAGGTGGCCCAGCTCCAGGAGGAGGTGCACCTGCTGCGGCAGATGAAGGACATGTTGAGCAAGGACCTGGAGGAGACCCAGGGAGGCTGCTCGGCTGACGTCCTGTCCGCCACGGAGCTGCGAGTGCAGCTGGCCCAGAAGGAGGAGGAGCTGGATCGGGCCAAGGAGGCTTTACAAGGTAAGAGGTCCAGACAGGAAACCATGAGCTGCACGTTGAAGCAGCAACTCTCTTTATTAAAACAAAACAAAAAAAAAAACAGTCTGCAGACTGCAAAATACTTTATATTAATGCAGAGAAATGACTGCATACAGAGAGCCAATGACAATAACATGTTTTGGATCCTGGCATGTTCATGTATCGGAATGGCCCAGTCAAAGTACAGACCGAAACGTAGTTGATCATTTGCAGGAAGATTTTAAGATGTTGCATTATTTTTTTCCACCACTCCATGTTGTCTTGTCCAAATAAAACCCAGTGAAATAAATTGAAGTTTGTGATTTTAACATGTCAAAATGTGAAAATAAAAATTGAAGGGCCTTAAATTTATTTGGAAACAGTCATTTGATTATTAGTAAGGACGACTTTTGGAATTCTTTGAGAATAACTTTAAAGTTTAAGGTATCGATTAAAAAAAAAAAAAAAGGCTGACCAAGCTACATGTTTTCCCATATCAGATATCTAATCCATTACTTATCTCATAAAATATTCAGCCCTTTATGTATCTACCTGTTTCATTTAAAGCAGCAGCCATTTTCACTTTAACCGTTTAGCCGCCCTGCTTTGATTTACTGCCTGCCGCTCCCACTCTTGCAGTTTCACTTCTGTCGCTGTATTTCCCAGCACCGTGATATTGACCGCAGCGTTTGCAACAAACATGCGTCATGGAGTCCATTAACTGCATTATGAGCCATTAGCATGTGACCTGCTGGACAGACCATTTTGTGGCTCATGAGCATGGGAGAACGTACCAGTTCTTTTACTTTTTACTTCTTCATTCACTTTCCTCCTCTTCCTCCTTTTCAGCTCTATATGAACATTCAATCAGAGTTTTATAGGCATTTATCTTCCGCCTAAAATTGACTAGACCAATTTCCATAATTCTAATTAGAAATTAGAGATATTACTAAAACCAGTAGGTTTCCTGGCGTCGGTGCAGTGTTCTTTTTATTTGACAGCTTGATTGTGACCAAATTTGTCTGACCGTAAAACTTTTCTTTATTTTGTCCATGTGGTGAAAACGAGTGAAACTAACAAATAGTGTCTATGTGAGAGTTTGTGTAGACCTCTGAGCTGAACTTCTGGCTGCTGTAAATGCGACACCACACACTGATGAGATCCAATCATTACTGATGGATTCCAGGCTTAAAATTAGTGATTGTAAACCTGCAGCACAAAATGCCAATCAGCTCAATTATGAACTGTGACTGCGAGGTCACACAAGGCCTCAAATACTGAATAATCAAAGTCACAATTCAGCTCTGAGCTCTTCAGAAAACCACTCCACGGTTTGTGTTTTCTCTCTGTTGGCGTCAGCCATGACAGGCTGGTTCTGTCACAGTTTTAGGGAATTTTTCCAAATGGGAATATACTCACAAAACTGCAAAAAAAAAAAAAAAAAAAAAAAAAAAAAAAAAAAAGGTTTTTTGCCCGGCGGCGCCGGGGGGGTTGGGGGGGTTCA